GTAACTCAAGCTATGTGCTATCTCTATCCTAACATCAAGTGGTTCATTCTACAGTGAGTCAAAATCTTTTAATTGAAGATTTTCTTCAACAAAACATGACTTTTTTAACGTCATGGAAATTTTTGCAAAATTTCCATTTTCTGCATTATTATTTTTTGATGATTTATGTTTTGAATGAAAACTCAAAAAAGCCCTACAAACGTTTTTGATGGGAAACAAAAACAAAAACTAAACATAAAATAAAAACACACTTTTTGACCGGCTCTAACTAATACAAGCTTACTTTTGAACTAGTCTGTGCAGGGCTCTATAGTTTTTAAACTAGGGGATTGGCTGTCAGGACTCCTGGTGTTTATGCAGGGATTCAATGCATGACCTTGGGCAAATCACAGCTTCTGTGCCTCATTCTGTACAATGGGTGTAAGAATACATAACTACCCCACAGGGGTACTATAAATCCAACATGAATCAAAGTTTGTAAAATGTGTGGAGAATCTTTGAGGTTGTGCAAGGTTTCATTATTGCAATGTAGAAAACAAGTGTAATTTTTCTGAAGAAATTGATGGGGTTTATTAATGATGAGAAGAAAAAGGTAAAGAATAGCTGAAGCCCTTAAGATCTTGATCCAGCAAATACTTATACACATGTGAGGGAGCTACTTAGGTGAGTAAAGTTACATCTATGTTTGTAGGATCAGGAGCTGAAACAGTTAAACTACTTGGAATATGCAAGAAATTGCTCCCATGCAGCCATATGGATTTTTAAGCATCTCTTTACAAACCCAGCATGGAAGGCATTCTGGATACTCTGAATAATAAATAATAATAATTTAATGACATGGTGGCGGATTACTCTGCGTGCTGAATTTGGAGCCATGCTAAAGGGCAGAAATAAGGAACAGTAAGAGCTCCCTTTCGGATGCACAAAAGCACACCGAGGGCGGTCTCCTTCACTGCTCAGATGAGAACACTCAAAGGCACATATCCCGAAGATTCTAATATTTTCTGGGACTCCACTGAGCCTTTATGCTTTCATACCCTGACATCTGGAATGCTCCAAGTCTAATGTTTAACCATAAATATCTGCTGAGATTAAAGAGCCGTAGAGTAAGTTTCAATCTTTTGGGCCTATAATTGCTTGGGAAAAGAGAATGGTATTTTCCCCTCTAGCTAAAGAGAAAGAGAAAAAGACCTCTGCAAGCACAGATATTGGCAGACAAATTTTCTGACAACCATTTCCTTTCTCTGTTCCCCACCCCACCCCCTCATTTCTCCGTCTAGAACACCATCTCACTGTCATTCCTAGGAGGAGAATGAAGAAAGTTTTAAAAAAAAGTTTCTCAAGAGCTAGCCAAGAACATAAAGCCAAGAACAATTTTGAAGCCAGGCAGACAGCATACCCTGCTCACCACTGGTATTTGTTCTGTCATTCATCTTTGTGTCAGGTCACTCTCACAGCCAGCAAGTGTGTGTTCATACTACTTTCATCAGTCTATTTTATTTCAAGTTCAAAAAGGCCCAGAGTGTGTCTTCAAATAACAAGAAGAAATAGAAGCTAGAAGGATGGTCCAGTAGACAGGGTATTAGCCTGGGACTCGGGAAACCCACATTCAATTCCCTGCTCTGCCACAGACTTCCTGAGTGAGCACAGGCAAGTCACTTAGTCTCTCTGGGCCTCGGTGTCACATCTGTAAAAGGGAGCTAACAGCATTTCCCTACCTTACTGGGGTGTTGTGAGGACAAATGGATTAAAGGTTGGGAGGTGCCTAGATACGTTGGTAATGGAAGTCGTATAACTACCATGGATAGATGGCACTTTGGACACACACAATAATTAGAAAAGGAGTACTTGTGGCACCTTAGAGACTAACCAATTTATTTGAGCATAAGCTTTCGTGAGCTACAGCTCACTTCGTCGAATTCATACTGTTAGCTGGGTGGAGAATTGCGACCGTGAAGGAAATGAAGGAAATTTCCTTCACGGTCTCAATTCTCCACCCAGCTAACAGTATGCATCCGATGAAGTGAGCTGTAGCTCACAAAAGCTCATGCTCAAATAAATTGGTTAGTCTCTAAGGTGCCACAAGTCCTCCTTTTCTTTTTGCGAATACAGACTAACACGGCTGTTACTCTGAAACCTGACACAATAATTAGATACACAAACTACATCGTGCCTGTTGTACAATCGCAAGAAGTCTGTCGCAGAGCAGGGAACTGAATATAGGTCTTATGAATCCCAGGCTAGTGCCCTAGCTGTTTGACCACAGTTCCTTCTTCCTACATGTCAAATGGTGCTATGTAAGTTGAAGGTTTTGGTTAATGTCTGTGTAGTATTTGTACATTATTAGCCAATGATACTCTTATTTATTGTTTCTATTAAGGCAGCGCCTAGAGCCTCGCCATGGATCAGGGCCCCATTGTGCTGTAGAAACACAGAACAAAGAGATGGTCCCCATCCCAAAGATCTTATAATCTGAGTGGATGCAACAAATGGGATGGGACAGCACAAGTAAACAATGAGATCCATGCTATGCCCTGCATTTCAAATATTTGAAGTTACTGAATGGATTAAATAAGAAATAGCATTAACCTCCCTTTGAGCCGTTCAATTGTACGTCTGATAAAGAGAACCCACCCACTTGGAGCCTATAGGGCTATTGCAGGAGGGGGGGGGGAATATCTGGGTTGCATTCATTGGGTCTCCTGACCTTGAAGGGCAAAGGAAGGGTATTTTGACTTTAGCTTTCCTTTTACGGTGAGTAGGATCTTTGGGGCACGTCAGGAACAAAGCTGCCTCCGGTCTCAGTTGCCTAGTAACCCAATGAGCTTTGCACTCACTAAGTGACTGTGCTCCCTGATTGGTCAGAAGAGCCAACAGCCCATCATTTAAGCCCTGCAGTAACAGCACCACTGTGGCTGCTCAATGCACTCCAGGCCTTCAGATGCACCAGACCTGTTTCCTGTCCAGTCCTTGCTCCACCCCTTCCCAGCTCTGCTCCAGCCCTATAGCCTGCCTGCCTTTGAACTCCTGACTCCTAGTCTGACCACTGGCTTGTCTCCAGTTCTGCCGTCTGATTCTGTTCCGACCACTACTCCAGCTCTGACCACTAGGTTGTACCACCTGCACCTCAGCGTGTGACGGGGCAAACATCTTCAAACTGGACACCTCAAATTGGAAGGTTCTGAAAAATTATGGCTGAAGGAGAAATTCAGAGGATGCAGAGGGCTAGCAAAGGTGTGTGCCACACTGAATTTGGAAAAGCACATATCCCTAAGCTGAGAGTGGGAGGGATTCTGCATATTACCTGATGATGCTAGCTCCTCTGGTTTGTGCTTTGAGCTGTAAACAGGGTTAAAAGCTATAGGGGAGCAGTATGGGCTGAAAGCCACTGGAGGTGAGCAGAATAACTGGGTGTTAGTTAAGTAACAGGTGAATATTAGTAGGAGGCACAGGGGGTGGTGATTAACTGAACAGTGTTAACTGCTGAGCTCTGCAATCTGGAATCAAGAGAGATAGAATTCCAAGAGCCAAATTCTATTCTTGGTTACACAAGCATAAATCTGGAATAAGCCCATTTACTTCAGTGGAATCAATCCATCCTTATACTAGTATAACTGAGGTAGCATTTGGCCCAATGGGAGTTTTGTGGCCATGACCAAGGTCTGGATTTGACCGTAACTGTCTCGTGTGGAAGCCTCCATTACACTGTCCAAAGTATTCTGTGTTACAGAGAACTATGAATTCACCTCCAGATGAACCTGTGCCTTTCCAAATGTCAGCCTGAAGACAAAGGGAAGTGCAGTTTTGAAAGAGAAAGACTCAGGAATTAGGACTGGAATTGGGAAGGGAAAAAAATGCCACTCACATTTGGACGGTGAGAAGAAAACACCACAATTCTGTTCACGCCTGGGAGGCAGGCAGCATTTACCATATGTTGTCAACTTCATTACATAAGGAGACAAACCCCGTGGAGGGCAGGTTGCACCATTAGTGCAGTGGGGTTTCCTGGCATTTATAACTACTATGTGCCTGAGTGTCTTTAAAAATGGTACAAATCTTAAAACTATGGGAACTATGTGCGCACGCATGCTTTAATAAGCTGGTGCTAAATGGCAAATGATGCAGCAGTGTCTACTGAGAGATTAGCATTGGCTTGTGATTCATAACCAGGGCAGAGAAAGTGGTGTGGGGGAAGAGCATGTTTATGCCTAGACAATGTATTAATCAGCCTTCTAAGCAGCCAGTGAGGGAGGGATCCTTAGAGGAAAGCCTTTACCGGGTACACATTAGACATTTTGTTTAAAGATTAAAGTTCTTCTTGTGTTTAATCAGTTTTAGAGCAGGACAGAAAATGGGATTAATTACAGTCCCTCGCACGAGCCTCCCATACTGCCGGAGTCACAAATGATGCGACTTTTCTGCAAAATGGCTGCCGTCAGCAGCAGGCTCGGGAAATGCTCATTGTAATTAAAGAGTTTATTTGGAATCACAGAGCAGAGTTTTAATCAGGATGAGAATGGAGCCTTGCTGTGTGAACTTTCAGAACGTGGTTACTGAGCAAGATGGGGCTTTTTAAACAAGAGAAAGTGCTCTCTAAACTGCTGGCCTGGATTTTCAGCCAGATACTCTCCTCAGCAGGAAATGAATAAAAATCCTCACTGGGACAATTATTATTATTATTTTGCACTCTCATTCAAGGATCCCAAAGTACTTTGCAGATGGGTAAATATAATCACCCTTGTTGTACAGAGAGATCAGTTAAAGCACAGAAGGGCAAGTGCCTCACCCCGCAGAGGGTCAGACTCCCAAGCCGTTCCTTTGATCAATATATAAAGCAGCCTCCTTTAATGAAAAGTGCTGTGGAATCTAAGCCCACAAGGTGTTCAGGATCCCAGAGGATGACAACCCACCGGTATATCTCCCAAGACTGGTTAGTCAATGCACTACCCAAGGTTTAGCAAGTGTTTTCAGATACTGCACAATCTTCATGTGCTACTTACCAGCATGCAAACAGGACTCTGTCCATTCAAACTCAGACTTTGGGAAAACTGACACGGGTGGCTGTAGGTCCAGGGCACTTCCATCCAGATCCTTGAAGAGAGCCTTTCTTGAGCCTTCACATCTCATCTCAAGATATGAAAAGTCCTTGGATCCATTGCTGCTGATGGAGAGGAGAAGGAGTATTATTGTTGGGAAGACAGCAAGAGAAATCACATTGTACTGGCCTTCTGAAGTTATTTTCATCACTGGAAAATGCATTTTTTTACATACACAAATTACCACGACATTCATGTGAATTAATCTGCTTGTTAAAAAAGGGGGAAAAGGGAAATAAGGAATAACTGGTGAAATCTGATGACATCGAGCAGGTCTGACTTGCTCTGTCATCATGAAATTCTGCAGCAAAGTTTGTTTTCATCAGGGATGAGACAATCCACAAAAATGAGATCTGGATCCCAACCTCCCAAATGCTGGCAGTGATCAGACTCAGAAGCCTGCTTCTGCCCTCTAGGATACAGTTCATTCCCATTCACCTCTCTGTGGGAGGGGCAATAGCTCCTCAGGGGTTTGGCTCAGTTGATTGGAGATAAAGACTAGCAACAACATTTGTATCCAGATCCAAGCATCCTCATAAATCTCAGGGATATTCTGATTTTGCTTCATCAAACAGTTCAACACTGTGGAGAACCATAGCGCCTCAGGAGCCACTCATCAGTATCCACAGGCTTGTAACTCCTGTATCATTCATAGCAGGATGAAAAAGGCTATGCCACGCAGTTCTAGCTACAGACCAAGAAATGCCCAGGTCTTTTTACCTGTAGGTTCAGCTCTTCAGAACTGAATTAAACCATGCTTACATACATACATACATAAAGGTGACAGAATTCTATGGTAATGGCTCCAACTAGAGTTTGGAGAGACTAACAAAAACTGAAAGTAAGCCCAAGCTGGTTTTGGATGTCCTTATGAAATGAATCCCAGCAAACTTGGGCTGAGTTTCAGGAGAGCGTGGGCCAAGCTTCGAGTGCACCTGTTGTTGGGAGGAAATCTTACGAAGGATAATGGCTCAAGAAGGAGCCAGGGAAATCCTGGTAGCTGGTGTGTGTGCCACTAGATAGCATCTTTTGGAGTACTTACTGCAGGGACATACAGCAGGAAAGGCAGGAAACTGATCACTAGGTCTGGAACTCTGAGTAGCCACACCCTTCCCATTATAAATGGCGGAGTGCAGAGTGTCATGGATTCTAATACCGCTCATCTCTATTATTGATATTTATTATTTGTGTTACTATTGTGCCCAGGAGCCCTAGTCATGGATTTCATTGTGCTAGCTGCTGTACAAACACAAAACAAAAAGACGGTCCCTGCCCCAAGAGGCTTATAATCTTAGTATAAGACAAGAGACAACAGATGGATGCGGGCAGATGGAAGAGCAGAAGGAAACAATGCTCTGCAATCTGTCTGATTTCTTGATTTCTGTGGCACTCTCTTACGCAAAGCCCATTGATTGGCGTTTTGAACAGGGAGAACTGATCGGAGTCTTAATAGGGCAGAGAAACAGTTGGATCAAAGCTCCACTCTGCACAGCTCAAGAGAGATGGGGAACGAAGATCCCTGGGGCTGGTTCAGCCCTGGCATATCTTAGCACAGACATCATTCCAGCTTGTTACTGCCACCAATGGGCGTTTATTCTGGCTGATGATCACCACAGCGCAACATGCTCTCGCCATGCCCTGTCCTGCCTCCTACTCAAGGGTAGCTTTATGGCTCTTTTGCAAGGCAGAAGCAGCTCAATGAGGCCATAGAATGGGCCACAAATTGACCCACAGGTTTTAAAAGCGTCGGTTTAATAAATGTTTGCAGGTGATCCAGGAGCAACAATAAAAGTCTGAACCTTACCCACAGGTTTAGCATGATGCTCAGAAATCACTTTGTACTCTGTAAAAAGAAAAGGAGGCAGTTTCCACGGTATGCATCCGATGAAGTGAGCTGTAGCTCACGAAAGCTCATGCTCAAATAAATTGGTTAGTCTCTAAGGTGCCACAAGTCCTCCTTTTCTTTTTTGCGAATACAGACTAACACGGCTGTTACTTTGAAACCTTTGTACTCTGTATGTCCATCGACCCATGTTTGATAACCATCCGCTTTTGCAATGCATTGTGTGTGCAGCCAGTCACAAACGGCGTTCTACTGTGGACTGGATTCAATAGTTACATATAATGGGAACTGACGAACTGGACAGGTCACAGAAATCCACACACAAACCAATGCCCAGAGCAAGCAAAAAAAAAAAATAGCACTGGCAGCCCGCTTGAGGGGCTCTGGACTGGAGCAGCGTGGAACACCTCTGATTGGTTTTGACTGGCACTCGGGGTTCACGTTGGGCTTCAGTGTTGCAGCAAAGCTTTCGTGACAATGCCTGTGTACTCCGGTAGCCAGCTGTACAAATAAATAAACCAGCCCACGTTTCCCACGGACTCTGCACGTTTGAACTGCTGAAACCTAACGTTACAGAGAAGTGCTCCTTCTTCCTGATCTCTCTGTTACTATGCTCAGCAGATATGCTCTCTGGGCATGAGTTAGACTGGCACACATCTGACATCTCACAGTTTGCCTGGTTCAACTCAGCGCTGCGGATGTGATCTCACAGGCAAAAATCAAACTCATTTTCCCATACAAAAAGGACACTTTAGCCACCTCAGGGCTTTTTGCTGGAGCTCCTGACATGTCCTGAGGCCTGGGGTTGTGGAGTCAGCTATGTAGACAGAAAATAAAGACACTGACTACCTGAAGCTACTTTTGTTACACAGATGCTAGCAATAGGAGAACTCCAGAAGGCTTCATTTGGAGAAACATCTAATGAACAATCCAAACTCTACGTCTTCAAATTTCAATAGGGAAAAACAACCATGTGAAAGGTCCAGGCTCTTCCATGTCTAGTCCCAGACAGAAACTGTATAAAGAGCAGACGGACAGATAGACCAAAAAAAAATAATAGTTGTATCCAAAATTTTGATTTCAACCCACTGTAGAAATTAGGTTATTTTATAACACTTAGAGCTGCACCTGAGTTCAGATTCTGAAAACCCTACATCCCCTAAGTCCGGGGGTACTGAATCTAGGTTTTGGGTTAGGCCCATCTTTAGCTTAAATTCTCATCCCATCACTCCTAATGAAAGAATGAATCTCTTTGAAGATAGATGTAACCAGTAATAGAAAGTGTAGATTTTGTAGTGAGGTATAGATAGATAAAGATATGACGAGTCATGTAATTAGTACTGCATATTCACTATAAACCTGGAGGGACGGGACTACTTATTAAGAACAAAGCACACTACCTTGTTTCCAATGTATGAAAGTAGAACTTATTCTGCTCATGGACATGTGACATCCTTGTCCTCTCTGCTGTGATTGGGTACATTATGCCCACACTGTCAGGATTTGACATGATGCAGACATCTCTGTCGTCACTATAGCAACTCTTCATAAAACCAGTAAAGGTGACTTCTGACAAAGATAAAAACACATCTCACTGGGAGAGGCTGGGTGAATTTTCTTCAGGGATGGGAATCTGAGGCATGCATCGTAAGGCCTTGTCTATATTAGAAATGTTGCTCTCGAGTAAGTAAACCAGTTTAAAATCAGTGTACTTACATCAGTGCAACTCCTTATGTAAATAAGTTTAAATCTTGCGTAAACTAAATCAACAGAACCACAGTTTAACCAAGCTTAAGAGTGTCTACATGAGAGGTTTGCGCTGGTGTCACTAGACCAACTTTAAATTGATTTAGTTGCACGGGGGCAACTTTTCTAATATACACACAGCCCGGCCGTGGCTCTGCCATGGACCTGATGTGTGAACTGAAGCAAGTCACTTCATCTCTCTGTACTCAGTCAGTATCCCACTCTCTATTGAACTTGCCTACTACATGGAGTGGTCAGGCGTATTGTCAGGTTAAAGATTGTGAAAGGCTCAAATACTATGATAATGGGGGTGACATAAGCACCAAAGCTGGACAGATCTGAAACATATCCAGCTGCTACAGTAATGCAAATAATAAAATATCATTTGGCATGTCCATTGCATTTAAACCAAGAACTCAAGGAAAGAAAGGGCGTAATAGTCTATAACAAGGGTTTTACAGCCTTCCTCTAAAGTCATTTGTTATTATTATTATTTATTATAACAATGGGCCTACATTTATTTATCAGCTTTCATTAAAAAGGATCACAAAGCACTGCAAACTTTGAACATAGTAAATTAATTTTGTAAAACCCTTCACTGACTTGGCATCCTTATCTACAAAAAGAACAGGGTACTTGTGGCACCTTAGAGACTAACAAATTAATTTGAGCATAAGCTTTCGTGGGCTACATCCTTATCTAGACATAGATATCAATATATCAGACAGATGGATCAAATTGAGAAATCATTTCACCCAGCACTGAAATGCAGATTTCGTTGGGGCGGAATGTGGAAGATTTTAAATAGCATATGGCAACACTGCACAACAGTTTGACCAGGAATTGCAGAATACCAGGTGATATCCTGGCTGCACTGAAGTCAATAGGAGTTTTGCTATTGATTTCAATGGGGTCAGGATTTCGCTCATTTTAACCATTTCAGATTGCCTGGGAGGGTGGATTTTAAGTAGGCAGAATGTAATTACCCGAGATGGGTTTTCACTGGGACACTGGGGTTAATGCAAAAGGAAGACCAACCTTGTAGCTTCATGATTCCTGATACTGCTGCATAATTTCTTATTTTGTGCCATGGATTATCAGGCCACTGGCTTGGTTCAGAGGTAAATGAAGGCCACAGAATCCCAATGCGACCTCTCTGAGGGTAATATGGAGCTCGATCCCTGAAAGTCGAGTTAGCTGAAAGGGGCATGATCCTGTCTTTAATGCAGTCAAAAGTTGAGCTTGTTGCAATAATCACAGAGTTTCTAAATTCTATGTATTTTTTTCCCAAACGATGCTGCTTATCAGATGGGCTGTACACCACTGGCAGAACACCCACAGCATTGTCTACTAGCATCATATTGTCCATCACTACATTGCTTTCGAGCTGGAACATGACACCATAGTCGTAATTCTTGTAGGACAGAAAACCAGTGATTTTGGTGCAGCTTTGAAACCCATCTCCTCTGTATAAATGAACACCATGAAGGCTTGAATGAGCCACATTTTCAGCACAATACTCTCCAGCTAGGAGGCATTCTTGACCTCTGATGTGGAAAGCTATACGCTCCGAACCTGCCACAACATTGCCAAGCAGGTAAGAGCCATCTGTTTTGTTCACTTTGATGCCAGCAACCCAGTTTGGTAACCCCTCTGGCTGCTTGCTGAGAATGATAAGGTTCCTGATGAGAGAATGGGTTTGGCCTTCCAAGTCAATGCCAGGGCCAACCGTATGGAACACCACATTGTCACGCAATGAGATTCCACTGCTTGTCACTGCTTGAATGCCACCCCCACAGCTATGGTGAATGCTGGAAGAGATAATTGCGGATCCCAAAGATACGTTACTGAAGCCAATAGCAGGAAGCTGTGATGATCCAAAGTTCAGAATTTCAATGTTTGAGAGCCAAAGGTCACCTACAATGTGGTAAATGAAGCGAGATGAAAGGGTGATTACAGGCAGATTGGCTTGTATGACCCCCTTTGTCAATAAGAAAATTAATATAATACCAAAACCAGGCATGTGTTTGCAAAACAAGAACAAGTGCTATTAAAATCTGAATGTTTTAAACTTATTTTTTACTGTTAATGTTTCTTATTTGCTGAGCACTCATTATGTGCTCTACATTGTACAACCCATAAAAGAAGTTACAACCCCTTCTCCTGAACGCATCCTGATCTGGACTGGACAGGATATTTGCGATGGACCGATATGAATGGGACTGAATGGGTGAGTTTCAACTACCTTCAAATTCCATTCCACTGGTATTTCTGAAGCGTCCCACCAGAAGCCTCCCAGAGCAAGCCTTGTCGGACTTAATCTGTATGTTGCGTGTTAGGAGCCCAACCTCAGCAGCCAACGGTACACGTCTGCCATCTTCTAGGCTATGGGAACACCCTGTGGCATTTCAAGGAGGGAAAACAGGATGAATGTCTAGGATGTTTCAGTAACCAACCCTTTCGGGATGTCTCGTCTGACAATTGATGTGTGGCTTCCTCTCAGAAATTGCACTGCCTTTCAGGTTTGATTTTCCTCAGGGGCTCTCTGCAAGGACCAACAAAGAAAACCGGCTGCCGGCTTGCCCCTATTTGGGATGAGAGTGTATTTTACCAACATCCTTTTGTTCCCAGTAAAGGCGAGTGCTAAACCTGTTCACTGGGACCACCACATGCCAAACTGATGGACAGATTCCAACTCTGTTTTCTTGAATTATATCAGCTGGAGACATCATACCTTAGTATGTGCACTAAGGAACTGATCTCTTTCCTGGGGCTATGAATTTACATAGTGATCAGCCTGGTGATGATGTTAAAAAACAATTTACTATAAAAACCTTGTACTGAGATTGCATGTACAATACAATGCTCTAAGAACAGTCTTTCTAAGGAGGAAATTCACACCAATAGAAAAGGTCCACATAAGGCCCTAAACAATGCTTAATTTCCACTCGAATCCTTAATACAAGGTTTAAATAGAGTATAGTCTTTGTTTCTGTTGGGTGATATTCCCCCCAGTGCAGAAGACCTGCTCAATCTTCTTACGCAGGCAAACTTCATTTGACTTATAATTAGCAATTTCAATGATGGTTTCATGGAACCTTAATTGCTTACTGCAGCAAAACTCAAAGGATGAAAGTCAATGACAAAACTCACACCTACTTCTGTAGAGACAGCCACCTGAAGTGGCTTCAGTGTCACTTCTCCTAGTGTAAGGATTGCAGCATCAAGCCCACAAGCGGAGGTTCACCATAAATGAAACATGCGGCAATGCATTGAAACAATGGGGTCTTTTATTCTATCCAGCAAAAAGTGAAGTTTGGCCCTGCATGGGTTAACTACAAATGAGTTCCATGGTTCATTATCCTTTTTCTTCATCCTCCCTTCGATACTCTGTAATTCTAAACTGGATGAAGATTTTTGTGTGGCACCAGAGGTGCTATCACTGACCGTATTTAGTGCACATTCATTGGAAAGTTTGTGTCAAATTATGGAAGTATAAAACTCAGAGGAGGCCCCCACTGGCAAAATATTTGTCAGGGGGCAGTGGTTGTTGCTACCAGGGAATGGGCCATTTCCAAGGGATATCCTGATACTGACGTAGAAGTATATAAAAGATCAATCTTCAGAATTGTGCATGGGTTGGCCTCCCTATGAAACTAACTGAGATCCACCAAACACTAGACAGGAAAAAGCTAACCTGATGTCAGAGACTTTTGATCACCGATGAACGGATGGCAAACTAGAGATGAAAGTCTCAGTATTTATTTAAAAAGAAATGGAGTACTTGTGGCACCTTAGAGACTAACCAATTTATTTGAGCATGATTAGTTGATAATTGGTTAGTCTCTAAGGTGCCACAAGTACTCCATTTCTTTTTGCGAATACAGACTAACACGGCTGTTACTCTGAAACTAGTATTTATTTATTTATGTTTCTTTTGAAAGCACTTATGTGGCTGAAGAAATCTTAAAATGCCCAAATAATAAGCATTATAATAAAAAGATCTGGCCACCTACTAAGATAAATCATAGCTATCTAAACACCATCTTATCACAAAAAAACTACCCTCATCCAACCACCCCATGCTCCTCACACCCATCCCTTCCTGAAAAGTGAGACAAAAGAGATGAGTCTTTCGTTGGGCAAACAGTAAATCCAAGCTCTGCTGAACCAAGGTGGTGAATGGCTCCAAGTCAAGCATAAGTCACTCAGAGCTTGTCTACATTACCCACCGGATCGGCGGGCAGCAGGGGTCGATTTATCACATCTAGTATAGATGCGATAAATCGACCGCTGAGCTCTCTCCCGTTGACTCCAGTACTCCACCGGAACAAGAAGCGAAAGGGGAGTTAACGGGAGAGTGCCAGCTGTTGACTTACCGCAGTGAAGACTCCGCGGTGAGTAGATCTAAGTATGTCAACTTCAGCTATGCTATTCACGTAGCTGAAGTTGCGTATCTTAGATCAACCCTGCGCGGTAGTGTAGACAAGCCCTCAGAATGCCTTGGTATCACACAGAGAAAGAATTTCCTAACTATCTATCTATGCCACTATATTTATTTAGTTATTCATTCTTTCTTACTTCTGACACTAACCCCTTATTACCAAACAATACTTAGATATTGCTGCAATGCTCAGGATGAAGATGGATGTAGATATAATGCTGCAGGTTTCCCTGGAAACATTCACAAATAGTTCTGATCCATTTCATTTGTTATTGTCTTGAATGGAAGTTAGCCTGAGGACTAAGGACTAAGTATAAACCAAGGGCCCAGATTTGCAAATACTTATTGCCAGGCATAAAACTTACTACTAGGAGGAGTCCCATTGACTTTATTATCAGTGTGCCAAATCTTGAGATCCTTATGATTTTGATTTTAAATAGCATCTATACAAATATACTATAAAATGCTTTATAGAATTAATAATATGACTAGGTTGTATGTTATAATAAAATGACATAAGTAAACTATGAACAATACATTTCTCTCTGAAGGTAGATACACATTTTACATATGTGTATATATATAACATATACATGTCTTTTGTAAACATTCTAGAACTGATCTAAATTTTTCAAGGTTTGAAATTTAATTTCAATTTTTTTTTAAAATGAAGTTTTTGTGAAATGTTCACCCTGTTTTTAAACTAACTAGAGTGGTGGTCCAAATTTCCTGTCATTTCAAATAAAGAAAATCAACACATTTTCCCCTTAAAACCACAGGTTTTTTTCTATTTTTATTTCAACCATCTCTATTACACATACACCCAAAGAACCTGGGATTTTCAAAAACAGTCATTATTGGCCTAATTCTGCTCCCACTGAAGTTAACAGTAAAACTCCCCACGCTGAGCAGTTTTGAACTTCCCACCTGCTACATAATGCAAGCATGAAGCAGCATATAGAGAAAGAAATTAAGATGCATGAAGAAGGGAGTGGGGGTCGGGAAAGTAGGTTCACAGGGAGATCTATAATGGGCAGTTAAGGCAAAGCCATATAGAAAGTCTGGGCCAGATGTCAGGGCTGCAGAAGCAAAGGCTCTCACGCCATGAGTAGTAAGAATGTGGAGAAGGATAAAGGGGAGGCAGTTTATATATAACAGATTTCTTACCAATATGCCTGTGGAGGAGACGTTCCTGGAATCTTATGCTGTGACCATTTATTTCTTCAAGTGTGACTACCTCAGCTTGGTGAGCATCATAGGAGGAGGAACTGATGACAATGTTTCCACCAGGACTCCAGTCCACTTCATCCTCGACCCAAATCCTGTAACCCCACAAAAGTTAAGTGACATCTTGTTTAAGCTATGAGAAAGGCTATGTTCGTGGAATTCCTGAAAGAGATCAATAATCTTGTCATGGCAAAACTAGCAAAGAATACCCAATGAGCTACATAAACCCACTTCCTTTAGTGTGTGAACATATACATTTCTAAGAAGTTTGATAAGTGGACTACAGAAAGTCAGATGAGAAACATGGCCTGCATTAGCCATCATCTCAGCCATTAATCTGCTGAAATACTGAGCTAGGCAGCTAGGCTTTCATTTTCTCTCATCTTAACTAATTAAGAAATTCCTCCTTTTAATTGTCAGCTGACTCCTTCTGTCATTTAATTCTCTGATTCATTGCTGACTCATGGTTGGAAATTGAAATACAGCCTAGAGTACTCAGAAACCTACTGTAACTCAGTTTATTCAATATAAAAACCCTTCCCCTAGCTTAAAGTTCTTCCATTGACTTGCCCATCTCCTGTATCTAATCTAATCTTATTTCTTCCTGGCTATCTAGGTTCTTATTAGAACTGCTCAAAAATTTTATATGAAAAAGTTATTTTTTGACAGAAAATGGCTTTTTTGTTGAAATGGGAATGTCTTTTGGGGTTTATCTACCTTAGGTATTTACAGGGCCCCATTACCATAGTATATGACAGCCTCATAAACTTTACTGTGACAACCCTGTGAGGTATAGAAATGATTTTATCTCCATTTAACAGGCGGGGAACTGAAGAACAGAAAGACTAAGTGACTTGCTAGGTCACACGGGCAGTCTGTGGCAGAGCAGAGACGTGAACCCTAAATCCTAGTGCCCTAACCATTGGACCATCCTTCCTCTCATCCTTTTCTTCCATCGAAAAATGCCAAAACTGAACATTTTTCTCTGAAAACCAAAACAATGTTAGGTTTTCATATGAATCTTTTTTGGGTGTTGATTGTCAAAAACATTTTTAAAAAATCAGGTTATAGTTTTATTACCACAATCTGAAAAATTTCAAAGAAGTTTTGTTTTTTGCTCTTACAGAAATTTTTGACAGAGGGAAAAACAAAACAAAAGTTTGCTGACCAGCTTTAGTTCTTTTACCACTACCATCACTATGGTAACTGAGGCCTGTTCTCTGGTGCATTCTCTATGTGCCTAAATAACAAGATTTCCTTCCTCATAGTGTCTCCTCAGTGGGTAATAAATCCTGTACCATGGCCACTATCAGGAACATGTTTCTCTGCATCCACTGTAAGGGATCTCCATCAAATCTTATCTGAAAACCCATGACTTTTCCTGGATCTCAGCATCCTCTTTCATAAATGACCCACTTTGATACACTGTATCAGCCTTTACTAACCTGCTTTACACTAAAGAAAGGCAAACGTAAAAGACAAAGTATGTAAATGTGTGGTTACGGCATTGGATTGAGACTTGGTAGATCCGAGTTCAATTTCTTGCTGTGCCATGTTTTCCCTGTATGACCATGGACAAGTCACTTAATCTCTTTGTGCCTCTGTTTCCCATCTCTAAAACAGGGATGATAACACTTCTTTCTCCAACCCATGATCTGTCCTGTGGTCACCTGCTGATGCTGACCAGGAAGTCACCTGACAGGAGACCGTTAGGTAATACAGGACACAAGTTGCTCTCTTTGTTCTCTCTTTTGCCATTTTCACTAGCTTATGGTGAAGGAAGCTGCTGCAGAAACCAGATGAGGCTGGGGTGGGAGGGCTGGACCCTGCCTTCCTGAATACAGATGGTCCCCCAAATACCCCCAAGGGAACGGTGAGCTGCAGTAAGGGGAAATGCAGACAGGGTTTATTATTTTTGTGTGGATCTGTGTATTTCTATGTAAAGAGCAGCAGAAGTTGTAGAGCTCTGTGCAAAGTGTCTGTGTGCATGATATGCCACAACTACCATGTGCCTCCTGAGAGTCCCAGAAGGCTTGCATCTTCAGTGGGATTCTGGGAGAGGGTGTGTTTAAGTTACAGGGGGAGTCACAGGAGCCAGCACTGGTTCCAGAGGCTGGACAGCCGGGCTGTCCGGTCACAGCTCTCAGGAGGGAGCATTAGACAGAGAACTCTGCACTCCAAATGTGCTTAGGGAACCCAAGACTGGGACACTGCCTGGGCTCTGTTCAGAATCTGGAGGCTTAAAACACCCAGGGATCCAGCAGCTGTGATTCCCTTCACAGCAATCTGGTGAGCGGCCAGAAGGGAGAGCCCGACTGGATCCGTGACACTAGCACAATGGGCCCTTATTTCAGCTGGGGCTTCTAGACGTGACCACATCAGAAGTGAACACAGAAAGCCAAATTCATTACCTGGAGACACACCTGGGCAAAAACTCACCTTTCATTGCCGGGTGCAATGTCACTCCCAAGACGTGTCCAGGATTTCCTAGGATAAGCACTATGAATCTGCACCTTCCCATAAACCCCTGGAACAGAGATATAAAGCCAAAAGCTAAGGAAGGAGCAAGACTTCAGCTGAACTTAGAGCGCTAATGGCTTAATGCAAGGAAAAAATTGTCAGGTGTGGTCAAAAGAGTTTTGAAGATTTCAATACATTTTGCACCTGGACTAGACCTGAGAGAATCACATGAACATTCATTTGAATTTCAAAGTGAATACTGCCCATATTCAGGACTAGAAATAGGTAATTAGTAAAATAAGGTTGTAGATTACAAAGACAAGTAGACGATTTCATCACAGAAGTCCCATGAAATTAAAGTTATGTAGCAAAACACCTAACTGGCTTTCAAAATCTTAACTTAAGTAAATAAGTAAATATGAGGGCTGTCAAGCTATCAAAAAATTAATCGCGCTGTTAAACAACAATAGAATACCATTTATTTTAAATATTTTTGGATGTTTACTACATTTTCAAATATATTAATTTCAATTACAACACAGAATACAACGTGTACAGTGGTCACGTTATATTTATTTTTTATTACAAATATTTGCACTGTAAAAAACAAACAGAAAATATTTTTCAATTCACCTCATACAAGTACTGTAGTGCAATCTCTTTATCATGAAAGTTGAACTTAGAAATGTAGATTTATGTACAAAAAAACCTGCATTCAAAAATAAAACAACGTAAACCTTTAGAGCCTACAAAGCCACTCAGTCCTACTTCTTGGTCAGACAATCACTCATACAAACAAGATTAGTTACAATTTGCAGGAGATAATGCAGCCTGCTTCTTGTTTACAATGTCACCTGAAAGTGAGAACAGGCATTCGCATGGCACTGTTGTAGCTGGTGTTCCACGATATTTACATGCCAGATGCACTAAAGATTCATATGTCCCCTCATGCTTCAACCACCATTCCAGAGCACACGTTTTCATGCTGATGATGGGTTCTGCTTGATAATGATCAAAAGCAGTGTCGACTGACGCATGTTCATTTTCATCATCTGAGTCAGGTAAAACAGAGCAGGAGACATACAATTCTCCCCCCAAGGAGTTCAGTCACAAATTTAATTGACACATTATTTTTTTAACAAGAATCATTAGAATGGAAGCATGTCTTCCGGAATGGCCGAAACATGAAGGGGCATACATATGTTTAGCATATCTGACACGTAAATACTTTGCAACGCCAACTACAAAAGTGCCATGCGAACACTTGTTCTCACTTTCAGGTGACATTGTAAATAAGAAGCAAGCAGCAGTATCTCCCCTAAGTGTAAACAAACTTGCTTGTCTTAGTGACTAGCAGAATAAGAAGTTGGACTGAGTGGACTTCTAGGCTCTAAAGTTTTACAAAAAGTTGTTTTTGAGTGCAGTTATATAACCAAAAAAAAAAAATCTGCATTTGTAAGTTACACTTTCACAATAAAGAGATTGCACTACAGTACTTGTATGAGGTGAACTGAAAACTACTACTTCTTTTGTTTATCATTTGTAGAGTGCATATATTTGTAATAAAAAATAATAATATAAAGTGAGCACTGGGCACTTTGTATTCTGTGTTGTAATTGAAATCACTATTGAAAATGTAGAAAAACATCCAAAATATTTAATACATTTAAATTGATATTCAATTGTTATAAGTGTGATTAATCACGATTAATTTTTTTAATCACGATTAATTTTTGAGTTAATAGCGTGAGTTAATTGTGATTAATTGACAGCCCTAGTAAATACTACAATTTTTTTTTAAAAGATAAATAATACAACTGAATGAACACCAGAATTTCTGTCATCGGAAATTCTGATATTTCAACATTTGCTTTTTGTTCCAAATCAGGATGAAAAATTAAAATACTGAAACTTTTCAGATAATGAAACTTTGCAAAAGATTTCAATTTGGAAATGGTGAAACATTTTGTTTCAGCACTTTCTACTGAAAAGAAACATTTCAGTGTTCCCAAATTGAAATGTTTTATTTTGGTTTGTTGAACTGACCTGAAATATTTAGAGTCAGTTCAACCTTACACTGCATTTCCCTATGATGGCACACTGCCTCATGGGAATTGCAGTTCAGGTGCCTGATGCCCCCATTCTCTCCTACGGGCCACGCTCCTTTGCCAAACTACATCTCCCACGATGCACCATATCACTTGGTTAGAGGGGAGACTGAACTGCATCATGGGAAATGTAGTTCTGTCAGGGAACCCATGAGGCAAAGTGACACCACAAGGAAAAACGCAGTTTAATGTGAACTGACTCAAAATGAAACTTTTTGGACCATTTCAACAAATTGAATATTTCAATTCAGGTCAAACCACTGGTTCATTAGATATTCTGATGCTGGGCTCCCCTGTGGAAGCTGTTCTACTTTGGATAAATACGTAAAGAGTCAATGAGCCAGAGAGAGAGAGAGAGAGAGAGAGAGAATCACTCTAGATCCTGATGGTTAGAGCACTCAGCCAAGATGTGGGAGAGCCAGAATTCATTCCTCTTTCTCCATTGATTCTTTATTTATTAATCCAGAGCACAAAAGCTTCAACAAGAGAGACTGAGGGAGCCTAATATCAGAATCTCCCATAGGCCAGTGGATAGAGGACTCACCTAAGAGGTTTCAGGTCCCTGTTTAAACCCCTCCCACCCTGAATCAGGGGATCTTACCTACCAGGTGAGTGCCCTAACCATTGGGCCAAAGGAGGTTGCTATCATTGCCTGCAAAAAAAAAAAAAAAAAAAACAACAAAAACAATATAGGCACCTAACTCCAAGAGAGGGCTTGTGACTGTGAATCCCAAGAAGAGGGAGGCACCTCCCTTGTGCCTGGATATAGATATTGAATTCCTTGAGACTGGTGGGCTATCCCTCTTGTTGGCATCTTGAATTGGCTACATTACGTGGGGAGCTGACTAGCATGCTGGCTTTTGCAGAAGTCATTCTTAGGCGCCTAGGTCCCTCCATTCATGTGAAGCCTGAGTGTGTAACTCAGGCTTTGTGCATCCCAGTGATTTTCTAGGTGCCTAAATTCCTTTGTGAACATAGCTCATAACCCAGATTTTCTGTTGCCCATTTTTGTGCTTCAGTCATCCATCCTCCTTTCACCATAAGTAGGCACATGTCTGTACAGATAACATTAGAAAATGGGGTCTATCACCATCAGAAACATAACAACACTATGAAACCAGGAGATCAGGTGGATTTGGATGTCTGAAAACATCTAGGTTTGGAAATCTGAAAACGATGTGTGACTTTATGAAGAGAGATTAATCCAACGTGAATCTGCATCCTTTCAGCTTTAGCTTTGGTTTCCCAAATGACCCTAAGGAGTCAGATCCTGCAGCCCTTAACTCAGGCAACCTCTCACTGACTTCAGTGGAATTTTGACTGGAAAAAAATATTGAATAAGGTCTCCAAGATTTGGCCTTATAAGGGTAGAATAGGAAATATTCTTGTTAGCTTCATCTTAAAAACCTGTCTCTCTCTCACTGAGGCATTTTTCTGCAAACGGGTGGTGGGTCATTACCGAGTACCAGGCTCAACTGCAGTAAATTGGTTATTCCACAATGTGCTTTTTCCATGACAAAGCAAATATGTTTTTCATACCAATAGTTCCTGGGTGGACACTTATTCCATCCAAACGATCACAATAAACTCCCTCAGATGCCCGAAGAAGGATCAATAGCTTCATTCCTCTTTCTAGGGGATGTTGAAAAGTACCTGTAATAAAGAAGGGGGAGGAGGGTTTCAGCAGCCATTGTGATGACGAAAGGAAGAGAAGAGTATATATTAGAAGAATTGAATGTTTTTTTTCTAGAAGATATGCTCTAATTCAAACAGGAGTTAATTCAGGGAAGTCCTTTGACATGTGTTGTCCAGGATGTCAGACTACATGATCACAATGGTCCCTTCTGACTTTAGAATCTATGCATCTATGAAGAAGGCTGAGTTTAGTGATATATGCCTCAATTAAGCAAACTATGTGTGTATCCTTCATCGTATGATATCTCAGAGATGGAAGATAATTTCACGGAACTCCGAAACATGCTGAAGAAAAAGAAGGTCTAAGAGATCTTTTCAGAGATCCTTCCTGTCCCAAGAGCAAAGGAACGTAGAAGATTCTGGAGGTGAACTGTTAGATAAGTAAGAGTGTAGGGTGCAGGGTTTTGGTTTTGTGGAACATTGATCCACCTTCTATGGGGAGAGGGGGCTGAATAGTTTGGAAGGCCTCCACCTCAGTGAGGACAGGCTAGCTAGAATAGTCAGGAGAGCATTAAACTAATAACAAAAGGGGAGGGCAAAAAAGGGAAGATATGGCCACTCAGCACAAAATTGAGATTTTGATAAAATTAATCAAGGAACAAAAGGACACAAAGCGAAGAAATTCTTGAATTGCCTATACACCAATGGTAAAAGCCTGGGTAATAAACAAGGGGAATTGGAATGCTCATTTATGAGCATAAACTAAATCTAGTTAGTATTATTGAAACCTGGTTGGATGGGTCCCATGATTGGAAGGTTAAAATTAATGATAATACCTATTTAGGAAGGATTGAGTGGACAAAAGGGGAGCAGGAGTGGCACTTTATTTCAAAAATGGCACTACCTGTTTCTGAGTCACTTATAACTTGGAACGACCCTGGATGCCCCTTTCCGATAGAGAGCTTTAGCCACACCCTGGCATGAGCAGCTAGGGAATGTCTCACATGTGGATAACTTGGAAGAAAATCAACTTGAATGCTTATGGATCAACGTCCAAACAGATAAAGCACAAGATGGGGTAGTAGTTGGTGTCTGCTGCATACCTCCAAATTACACTAGGGACAGCATAACCAGTGCCTTACGTATCTATCCATAATGTGTAGGGAAAAAGCTGCATGATCATGGGGAACTTCAATTTGAGTGACATAAGCTGGAGTTCTAATGCTGTCAGGATTAAAACATCCTTGGAATTTCTAAATATTATAGATGATAATTTCCTAACTCAAAAAGTATTGCATCCAACATGGGGGGATTCTATATTAGACCTCATCTTGACAGACAAAGAGGAACTGATCACAAAACTAAAAATTCATGATAACTTTGGTAGACGTGATCATGACTAGATCACATTTATAATATGCAAACAGAGTAAAATCTAGACCAGATATATATATACACTTGGTGCTTTTAAAGCCAATTTTATAAAGCTTAAAACAATTATGAGCCAAAGCAGCTGGGAGGAAGATTTTAATCAGAAAAATGTGAATGATAATTGGGAATGTTTAAGAATACTTTACTAGATACACAAAAACCTGTAATCGCACTATCAAGGAGGAAGGCCATATTGGTTAAAAAATGTCCTTGTTTAGAGGAGACGTGAAGGCACCTATAACAATTTTAAAAAATGATATATAATGAAAGAAAGGAAAGGTTGAACGTAATGAATATAAATCAGATGCTAAAAATTGTAGAAAAGGGATAGGGAAAGCAAAGGAACACAAGGTGAAATCTATGGCCTTCAGAGTTAAGGACAATAAGGAGGAATTTTTTAAGCATATTAGGAACAAAATGAATCCTGACTTCGGTATTTGCCCATTACAAGATGAACATGGTAGCATTAACAATAATGCAGAAAAGTCAGAAATGTGCAATAAATATTTATGTTGTTTATTTGGGGAAAAAAACAGATGATGTAGTCATATCCTATGATGGCACTCTTTCAATTCCACTGGTATCTTGGGAGGATGTTAAGTAGAAGCTACACAAGTTAGATATTTTAAATCAGAAGGTCCAGACAACTCACCTCCAAGAGTTTTAAAAAAGCAGATTGAGGAGCTCACTGCACCATTTATGTTGTTTTTCAACAAGTCTCAGAACACTGAGGAAGTTCAAGAAGACTGGGAGACAGCTAATGTAAAAAAGGCTAAATGGGATGACCTAGGTAATTATAGGCCTGTCAGTCTGACATCAATCCCATGCAAGATAATGGAGCAGCTGATACAGGACTCAATTAATAAAAAATTAAAGGAAGATAATATAATTAATGCCAATCAACATGGGTTTATGGAAAATAGATCCTGTCAAACTATCTTGCCACCTTTTTTTCTTTTTGATGAGGTCACAAGTTTGGTTGATAAAGGTAATAGTGTTGATGTAATACACTTAGACTTGGTATCACAAGAGATTTTGAGTAAAATACTAGAAAGATATAAAATTAATAGGGCACAAATTAAATGGATTAAACACTGGCTAAATGATAGGTTTCAAAATGTAATGTAAATGGGAAATCATCATCAAAGAGGTGTGTTTCTAGTGGGGTCCTGCAGAGCCTGGTTCTTGACCCTATGCTATTTAATATTTTTATTAATGGCCTGGAAGAAAACATAAAATCATCACTGATAAAGTTTGCAGATGACACAAAAATTGGGGAAGTGGTAAATAATGAAGAGGGTCAGTGGCAAAGACCAATCTGGATTGCTTGGTATGCTGGGTGAAAGCAAACAACATGCATTTTAAGATGGCTAAATGTAAATGTGTACGTCTAGAAACAAACGATGTAGGCCATCTTTACAGGAGGTGGGACTCCATCTTGGGAAGCAGTGAATCTGAGAAAGATTTGAGGGTAGTGGTAGATAATTAGGTGAACATAAACTCCCTGTGCAACACAGTGGCCAAAAAGGCTAATGCGATCCTGGGATGCCTAACCATGGGAATCACAAGTAGGAGGAAAGAGGTTATTTTACCTCTGTATTTGGCACTGGTGCAACTGCTGCTGGAATACTGTCTCCTGTTTTGGTGTCCATCATTCAAGAAGGATGTTGATAAATTGTAGAGGGTACAGAGAAAAGCCACAGGAATGATTAGAAAATATGCCTTATAGTGATTGATCTCCTTGAGTCTATCTATTTAGCTTAACAGAGAGAAAGTTACCGGGTGACTTGATTACAGTCTGTAAGTATCTACAATGGGAACAAATATTTAATAATAGGCTCTTCAATCTAGCAAAAGAAAGATATAACATGCTCCAATGGCTGGAAGCTGAAGCTAGACAAATTGAGACTGGAAATAAGGTGTCATTTTTTTAACACAGAGAAATTAACCATTGGAACAATTTACCAAGGGTTGTGGTGAATTCTCCATCACTGGCAATATTACAATCAAGATTGGATAAAAAAAAAAAACTCTCAAAATTATTTTTGGGAAGATCTATGGCTTTTGTTATACAAGAGGTCAGATGAGATAATCACAGTGGTCCCTTCTGGCTTTGGAATCTATCAACTTTAAGAATGTGCTTCTGTTCGTCTTTAGCCATCAAAGCATTTAAGCACGTGCTTAACTTTAACTTCACATTGACTTCACTGTGATTAAGCATATACTGAAGTGCTTTGCTGAATTTGAGCTATAAAACAGACTTTATCCATGGGTTATGTACCCATGTTTAAAGTTAGAGGTCCTTGAAAATAGCCTATCTAAACTAAAACTAAACTGGTAAGGTTTGATAATACATGAAGCCCACACATAATATATTGAAACCTCATTAAAAATACTGAGAACACTTACTAGCCCTCCGTATCCCATAGTTACAATGAAATTCCACATCAAGGTCCAAATGTGTGAGCTAACAGAGAACATCTCTGGGTGGGAAGCAGCAAAATATTAGAAGCTGTAAATACTTTAACCAGTTCTATGAAAATATGTTCTTGAAACCAATTTATGTCCAGCGCTGCCAGATTTATCATGCAAATTAAAATGAAAGAGAATAAACCATGTAGCATGCTTTGTAGTTTATCTTCCATGCAATGCATATCAATTAAGCAAAAAGAGTTTGTTCTACAAAAGCCAAATACAGCTAAATATCAAACCTAGCATGAGCCCTGGCCAACATTTTTTGGCACCTTATTTTCAGAGGTCTTGAGCACTCACAACTGCCACTGGAAATAGAGGTACTCAGTATCTGTGGCCTACCAGTAAAGACATGTGAATCTCATGAAGTTATCTGATCATGTTATGAGGTTAATTCTTACCTTATGGCTCTGGTACTTATATAACCCCCATTAGCATAGTATTTGAGCATCTCATGATACCCCAGGGAAGTAGGTATATACATTCACATGGGGAACTGTGGCATACAGAAACTAAGTAGCTTCCTTAAGGTCACATAGGAAGTAAAAGGCAGGGCTGGGAATTGAACCTGAGTCTCTCAAGTCTTTACTTAGCACTTTTAACCACTGGACCATCCTTTTTCTCCCTCCATCCACATGCTTTCTTTTCTGGTGTAATATTATCAGTTCTAAACCACACCCCGTAAAATGCTCTTCCAGGCCAACAGAAAGATGTTAATAGAGCAGAAGAGAGGAAAATGTTCAGAAAATTTTGGTGTGTGATGTTGCTCTTATCTTGTGGTGATAAGTCTATACAGTAAACTGTATTCCAACTGTGACTTCATTTATTTCACCAAGGGTAGTTTACAGTCTCAGAAGAAAATGGCCTAGCACTGAACAGATACAAGGGAGGAAAAAGTAGGACAATTTGTGCCCTAGAGAAATATATGCAGAGTCCAGTAAAAGAGTTCAGCGTTCCTCTAAAATTAGAGATTAAATCAATTATGCAACAGAAAACCTCAGCAGATGTAGAATAAAACAAATCTGTGCAAAATTAGCCAGCCTGTTATGTTCTTTTCATATTTAAAAATTACAGTTTTGGTGGAATATATATATACGAATAAGAGAGAGAGAGAG